TCCATTAATGATTCTTACCCGTGGCTATTAAGGCATAAATGGTGGCTGCCAGGTGGGGGGTTCTAATTTCATGATTCCTTTTGCGTTTGTGAATTGGAATGCCACCCCAAGGACCCAGCATCCTTCTTCACTGTTTGTAGAATCATAGTGGTGTGGGTTAAGGAACTCCCTTTCTTCCATAGATTAGAACTGGCTGCTGTGATTGTTTACTGGGATGTTAAACTGTCCCAGGTTGGCAACCGACAACCTTTATGCCATCTCCTGTGTCCTTTTTGACATTTCTGTTGTTTGAGAACTTAGTTCCCTCCTAGCTGCATGAGATATTTTAGATTCCTTCCCTTTGCCTACCAACCTGCCATTCCCCCAAGGAGTCCTGTTACCTTCTTATTCAGAGAATTGTATGTGGCACTTAAACCCCAGCATTTGCATGTAGAACTTAAACCCCAGCACTTGGTGCTTTGATTGCTGAAGGAGAAGTCTGCTGTTTGCATCTAAGACCTCTCAGAGATCTGAAGTGAGGAAAAGTCTCTTGTATACACATGCTTACACACTCCCTACTGTATACACATGAACACAAAAAGCCCAGCATATGAATTTCTCACTGGATCTCTCCAAACTGCTTTGTTCTCAGAGATCCTGATGCATCTCTTTTCATTTTAAGACTCACTTTTCTAGTGTTAAGAACCTTGGCTCTCATTATCACCACACTGAAGTGGTTTCAGTGGCTAAACCATCTTCTAGGCTTCAGAAGACAAAACCTAACCAGGGCTCAGTGTGTGTATGTGTTTGCAGCATTGAGTCTTTACTCTGAGAGGTTATAGTCAGTGTGCCAGGAAGTTACTTGCAGCTACTGTTAATAGCCTTGTGCACTGTTTATGCTGTATACATACAAAGCAGCTTCAGGACTTTTCTCTGTCCTTACCCTGGGACCTGGCCAGCAGGAGACTATTCTCCCTCCCTTTACCATTCAATAATTTATTAATCATCTTTCTATTTATCTGTTGGTGTCATCTGTTTGCCTGTCTGTCATCCATCCATCCATCCACTTTCAACCTATATCTGTCCATCCATCCATCCATCCATCCATCCATCCATCCATCCATCCATCCACTTTCAACCTATATCTGTCCATCCATCCATTTATCCATGCACCTACCCATCTGTCCATCTGTTATCTGTCTATATCTGTCTGTCTGTCTCCCTCCCACCATTCATCCATCCATCCATCCATCCATCCATCCATCCATCCATCCATCCATCCATATCTATCTACCTACCTACTTATCTATCTGTCTATTATCTATCATATGTCTATATATCTTGTCTTAGGGTTTCTATTGCTGTGAAGAGACATCATGACCATAGTAACTCTTATAAAGGAAAGCATTTAATTGGGAGCTGGATTACAGATCAGAGGTTTAGTCCATTATCATCCTGGCAGAATCATGGTGTGGTGCAGGCACATATGGTGCTGGAGAGAAGCTGAGAGTTCTACATCTGTTTCCTCAGGCATCAGGAAGAAGGAATGAACCACTGGGCCTAGGTTGAGCTTCTGAAACCTCAAAGCCCATCCCTGGTGACACTTTCTCCAACAAGGCCACACCTACTCCAACAATGCCACACCTCCCAATAGTGCCACTCACCATGAGCTGATGGGGGAGCATTTTCATTCAAACTACCACATATCTATCAGTCATCTATATATGAATCATCAATCATCTATCACCACTCTATCATTTATCTGTCAACTATGTGTTCATTTGTCACTCTGTCATCTATTTATGTGTCTATCATCTACCTGTTAGCTACCTATATCTCTCTGTCAGTCTATCATGTTTATCTTTATATCTGTTGGTCTTATATATTTATCTCTGTATCTGTGATATATCTATATTCCTATAACTCTACATGTTTATCATATATTTATGTTTCTATTATTTCATGGACATATCAATCTATGTATCTGTCAGTTATGTAGCTATATGTCTATTATTCTATTAACTGTTGTCTGTTTCTATTATTCTATCTATCTAATCATCATTTATCTATATTCTCTCTGTGTCTGTCACTTTTTCTGTCTGTTATTTCCCAGGAGTCAGTCATTACCTTTCAAAGCTCCTATAGCCATCTCATTCTCCATGTTTTCCCTATAAGATTTTTGATCAAGTATTGTACATGGCCTCCAACAGCCCTGAAATTAAACAATTGCTTGTAATTCTGTTTGACAAACATCTCCAAGTAGAAGGCTTTTCCTATGGGGTGACCCAGGACTCAGATCACACACAGGTTGGCAGACAGGTTCTCCAGGGAATCAGCAGACAGTCCAGCAACAATGACTTGTGGTTTCCAGTTTCACCCCTCCATTGATATCTACACCTACACTGCTGGCTTTTTTTTTTGTTTTTGTGAAGGTGAGATGCTAGTTTTCAAAACCTCTGTGGATCTGGAGAGGAGAGAAGCTCAAAGTAAAATGCTACTAAGCTCTCTGGTTTCCTTTTTCTTGAAAAGCCAAGATTCTGCATTTGTTGAATAAGTGCTGTCCCAGGCCCACATGTGTTTGAAATAGTTGTTTTCAATGGCTTGTTGCTTTCACAGGGCAGAGAATCTTCCGCTCGTCTTACTCTGCCATTTTGTGTGATGTCACTCTGTTGAACACCTACGGAAATGAATTTCCAAAAGGCTGTACACACACTTTAGTGTGAAGTCTATCCCATCCGATATCGGGAGCTGGGGAGGCATGTCTGTTAACAGATGCTGACCTTGAGTCTCGGCAGTGGATGATGTTGATGTGATGCTGAACACAACAATTTCTTTTTCAGTGTGCTGCAGGCTGGGAGGGATCACTTTCGGAAGTATTGAGAAGGCTGTCTGTCGATAATGGGGAGAAAGGTGCAGAAATCTGCTTCATTCATGGAAGAGTTGAAATGTGGAAGCAGCCACTAAGCTGCTTATAACGAGGCTGTAAGTCAGGGCTAGCCATGATTTGCTGTATGAAATCTGTGTCTGCCCTTGAAACTCAATCTGGGAGACACATGAGTGTCTCCTCCGAGGGCTTCCCCAGGGTGCTGACTGATTCATGAGCTGGCTTCTTTCTCTCGAGCCCACCCTGTCACCTGGTCTCACATAAGACTTATCGGTTGCAAGTGATAAAACTGGCTTTAGGGAAGTTGAGGTTTAGTAAAAGCAGACAGTTATTAAATGTCCAAAGACTGTGTGATCTTCTTGTGGGACTGGATTCAGGAATCCAGAAATCTTGACGAGGAACTTGGTCTTGCTTCTGATTTTTCTTCTGGCTTCATTATGGACACAATTCTAGGGTATTTTCCCTGGTTGTTTTAGGGTCATGTGCCTTTTCTCCAAGCCTAATGGGGTCAGGTGGGATCAAGTCTGGCCAAACCAGTGTGTCAGGAGATTGACAGGTCTAGCTAAATGAGAAAGATAGAATCCCCAGTGTCCCAGAAGTTTGCCAGAGGGAGAGAGGAAAGACCCACATGCCTGCATTTGGAGGGAGGTCACTGGGAGAACTGGAAGGTGAGGGGGCAGGAAGGCCCTGGTGGCATCTGGGGTGTACAGAGGCTTATGTATGGCCAGTTCTCTCTGTCCCTTCATGCCGTGTTGTCTTAATTTGAACCCCATAGGAAGTCTGTGGTCATTGTGCTCTGAAGTCCCCAAAACGAACGACCACTTTCCAAATGAATCTCAAGCTAAGACTGAGCTACTGAAGAGAGAGGTTTGCTCAGTGATAATGCACCTGTAGACGTGGGGTCATGACTTCAGTCTCCAGAGACCCTATTCAAAGCTTGCCAAGGTGGTGGCGTGTGCTTGTCATATCCGTGCTGGGAAGCAGAGACAGGCGGCCTCTGGGATTCACTGGCCAGACAGCCTTGTCTATTCAGAGAGCCGCAGGTCCCAGTGACTGATGCTGCCTAAATAAGTATGGTGGATAGTCCCAAACAGTGCCAACTGCTGCGGGCCGTTAAATATAATAGAGCAGCTGTGGAGGGTTTGGGAAAGGAAGCCTACTCATTAGGAGTGTGCTTCATTAGGCAAAGGGGCCTTGAGACCATGATCAGATCTGGAGGCAGGAGGGAGAGCAGACAGAGCTAGTATGATATTGTGATAGACGAATATGACAGAGGCCTTGGAGGGAAGGAGATGCTTTCCTTTAAAACCTGGAGAGGAAATTCAGAAAGACAGAGAAAGAGACAGAGCTAGACACACAGAGATAGAGACAGACAGAGGCAGAGACAGAGAGACAGAGACACACAGAGACAGAGACACAGAGAGGCGCAGAGACAGAGACACAGAGCGGCATAGAGGGACACAGACACAGAGATATAGAGAGACACACAGAAAGACAGGCAGAGAGACACAAAGGCACAGAGATACAGAGAGACAGAACGACAAAGAGACATAGAGGGACACAGAGATAGAGAGATATAGAGAGATACACAGAGAGACAGACAGAGAGAGACACACAAAGGCGCAGGAACTTTGTGAGAGACAGAGACAACTTCTTAATTCTTGTCTCAGAGAAGAGCTGCAATTGGGGTTGTGGCATGATCTTCACTGTGGGATTTGGCACCTTAGGAGAGACTACTATTTGAGTATAAATTTTAAAATTACTTTATATGTGTATGAGTGTCTTGTGTGTGTGTTTGTATGTGTACCATGTGCATGCAGTGCCTGTGGAGGCTAGGGTATCGGATCCTCTAGAACTGGAGTTACAGATGGTTGTGAGCCACCCACCGTGTGGGTGCTAGGAATTGAACCCCAGTCCTCTGGGAGATCGGCTAGTGACCTTAACTTCTGAGCCATCTCTCCGTACCAAGAATGACCACTGCCTTAAAGGGGCAGGCCCATGTTCTAACAGGGATAAAACGTTTAAGCGTGTGAACATGTCGGGGATACTTCATATTCCTAACAGGAGTCCAGGTGATGGGTGGCTCGCTCAGTCAGCACCTGCCTCTTGGCTTACTCTTGTTGCCTGTCTTGTTCAGGACACAGAAGTTTTGAACACCGCCATTCTCACTGGCAAGCCCGTCTCGGTTCCCGTCAAGGTCGTGGGGGTTCAAGAAGATGGATCTGTGGTGGACGTGTTGGAGTCTGTGGAATGCAGGTCGGCCGATGAAGATGTGGTGAAGGTACTGGAGACGCATGTTCATGTGTTCCTGTCTCTGTCTCTGTCTCTCTCTCCCCTTTCACCTCCAGCATGCTCTGTCTGAATGTCCTTCATTTGAAGGGAGAGCGAATGACCTCACAGAGGAGGAGATCAGTGTCAACAGAGATGCTGCTGTTTTCTTCTCTGGTTCTTGGTCTCAGGTGACAATCTGTTCCCCTTTCTCCATCTTCTCCCTTCCTCCGTCTTTCCCATAAGCAGGCTGCTTCCTTTACTCCAGCAACCCATGCATCATTTCAGTTTTTAACCAACTCTCTCTGCCCAGTCAGGTTATTTACTGAGTATATTTTCTTCACATGCCCTGCTTTTGTGGAGCAGCTGTCTGCCTCAGCTGGCTGTAGTCTGGTGCCGATAAGTGCCTCCTTTCCTCAAGCTTAAAAACTAATTTAGGGTCATTATAAGATAATAAAACCCACGAGTTTGATGTGTTAAAATTTTGTTAATATACATTAAAGTAAATGACTATTAAAATAATAATAAAAAACCTCATCATGCACCTCCTGGCTTAATTTGAATACCACCAAAGGGACACGCAGCTCGCAGTTGAGAAATCTGGACACGGGGTACTTCTGTCGGATTCTTTTCATTACTGATCAGTGAATATTTTGGCTCCAAATTCTTCCAGAATCTGCCAGGAGTTTAATTGTCCTTGCTGTTTGTGAGGAAACTTTAAGATTTAGTGTTTCTGTTGTTTTTCCCCTCTCTGTCCTCAGCACATCCGTTGCTTTTGCCGCAGAGATCAGAGAGGAAAGAGCCCATCAGAGAGCTCCCAGTTCCAGTCTGCCCAGACAGTTTAGTGAAATCCAGTGCACCCACAGGGTCAGTCCTGTCCTTCACATCGTGTCTGCTTCTGTTCAGAGGTGAAATGGGACTTGGCCTCGGGCTTTTCAAACTTTCACTAATCAATTTAATTTCTTAATGTGTGCCTATGTAAGCAGATTCACATGTGCATGTAGAGGTCAGAAGACAGCAGGCAGAAGCTCACGTGCATGTGGACATCAGAGGACAGCAGGCAGAAGCTCACGTGCATGTGGAGGTCAGAGGACAGCAGGCAGAAGCTCACATGCATGTAGAGGTCAGAGGACAGCAGGCAGATGCTCACACGCATGTGGACATCAGAGGACAGATTTCTGGAGTCATTTCTGTCTTTCCACCATGCAGGTCTCCTGACTTGAACTCAGGTCACGAAACTTAGAGGCAGGTGCCCTTTACCTGCTAAGCCCCCTCGCCAGCCATGGGTGTCAGGCTTGGACGCTTCCTGGCGGCTAGTAAGGAGAAGTCTAGAAAAGGCTGATGCTTTCTCTGTGTGGCCTGCACGAGGCTGTGATTTGGTCCAGAGTATGTCTGATAAAGAAGGATGCTGGCTTCATAAGTCTCACTGAACATCTGTGAATCTGCAGGAGCCTTCAGTGTGGTGTACTTTGTTTCCTGGGCATGGGCCATGATTTCTCCCCAAAGACAAAAGCAGGCTAGTTTAAAACCTACAATATGGCCTCTCCCTAGGACTCCTGGCAATCCTTGTGCTCTATGGGCAAGCCAAATTAAACAAACCCAAGGCCTTCCACATTAGGAGTCTAGAAAGACCTGAGTCTGGTTACAGGAGGTAGGTACGCATGAGACATACTTACACTATATGTGTACATACACACACACACATACAGAGTCCACCTTGATTTTGAGACAGGGTCTCTCACTGAATCACATGCTTACTGATTTGGTTAGACCAGCTGGCCAGCAAGCCCTAGGGAATCCTCCAGTCCCTACTTTTGGAGCTTGAATTACAAGCACACACCACACACCTGCTTATTTACATTAGTGTTGGGGATTTGGGCTCAGGTCCTCATACCGTTTAAGGATTTTACCAACTTAGTCATGTCCCCGGCCCAGTATATTTGTTTTCTCTGTCTCCACATCATTCAAGAAAAAGCAGACATTGACAGTGGCTTAGGGAGGTGGTGTCTGAATGCTTTATGCTGACATGGGCTCAAAACAAATGGCTTGCTCTGTTTCTCCCGAGCCTTTGGGTCTCTCCCAGGAACCTTGTGGAGCCCTGCAGAACGGAACCCTTGATCTCTTGCTCTGAAGAATTCTACTGCAGAGAAGTGTGTCCAAATTCGTGAATCCCATTGCTGTCATATCCATAGTTGTTCTAATGCATAAAAATGAACTAAAACCACTCTCTGCCCTTCCTGAAGGATATGGTATTTTGGAAGATGAATTTCTTTTTTTTTCTTGGCTGTCTTGTGAGAGCCTCATGAAGAAGGGCCCACTCTTTAGAGGAGCCAAATAAAGTGAGTTGTCAGATCATCAAGCCCAGGGCTGCATTCAGACAGGCTTTGCTGGCGACCCTGGGATTTAATTAAGTGACTCTGATGCATCTGCTATGGTTTCTCTGTCTGTATTTGTAATACATTTTGCTGCGGCTGGAGGATGGATGGAATTTTCTACAGGACTGTGCACCGGTCTCAGTGTCACCCCAGGGGTTTCCGCAACATCGACGAAGTCATTCGCGCCGCCAGAGAGATCCATGCATCTGTTGCCCCCCTCCCCATTTCGCACATTGGGTCTGGGACTTGAGTGGGTCAAGTGTTGAGTTTGAGGAGACGGGAGTTGTGGAGACAAATTGGCTCACTCTTGTGACCGGAGCGACTTGTGACTTTCAGAGAACAGTTACAAACAGTTGGAAAAGGGCCAGGTGCCTTCTACATCTGTTGAGGGTAGAGAAACTAAGACAAACTAAAGAAAACAGGAAACAAGCCTTATAGTTGTGACTGTGTGTGTGTGTGTGTCTATATGTGTCTATACAAGGCCAAACTTGGCCCAGAGGGGTGTAGGGATGTGTGTGTGTACGCATGCCTGCATGTGTGTGCTCAAACACATGGAAGTTGTTTCTTTTCTTTCTTGTGTGTGTACATTCATGTGTATGAATGCAGGTGGGCATGCGCCACAGTTTGCATGTGGAGATCAGAGGACAACCTTGGATGTCAGTCCTAGCCTTACGTTTTGTTTGAGACAGAGTCTCTGTTGTTTTTCATTGCTTAGTCCAGGCTAGCTGGCTACTGAGAAGTCTCCTGTCTCCCCCTCTCACCTCCTGGCAAGAGCACTGGGGTTGCAGATACTCATACCGTTCAGATTTTAAGTGGATTCTGAAGATTGGAGCTCAGGTCCTTATACTTCTGTGGCAAATGTTTTTACCCACCCAGCCATCTCCCCAGCACATGAATTACTTATCATCATTATTATTGAATTTATTACCATTTCTATTAGTCAGAGTTCTCTGGAGTAACAGAATTTATAGACTGAATCTTTAGATATAGAAAGGGGATTTAACAGAATGACTCTTAGGCTGTGGTCCAGCTCATCCAACAACAGCTGCCCATGAATGGAAAGTCCACGAATCCAATAGTTGTTCAGTCCAGGAGATTGGGCGTCTCAGCTGGTCTTCAGTGTACATTGAAATCCCAAAGAAGTAGACACTAATGCCAGTGAGGGAATGGACTTCCCACTGAGAGTGAGCGAGTGCAGAGAAAGAGCTTCCTCCTTCCAAGTCCTTTGTGTCCTTTAAGTAGACTGCTAGCAGTAGGTGGCCCTTCCCACCTCAGAAGATCCGGGTTAAAGGGTTAATCTTCCTGTCGCAAAGACCCAGATTAGGAGTGGGTCTTCCCACTTCAGATGATTTAATTAAGAAAAAAATCCCTCACCGATGTGTCCAGTCATCAGGGTTTTAGTTCATTCCACATGTGGTCAAGTTGACAACCAAGAACAGCCCTCATACCATTATGAAAAATTGGGCAAATTCATGTAGAGATCTGTATTTCTAGTCTATGAACTCCCCCAAGGTTGAGTGACCCCAGGTCCACATTGCTGAGACTTTTCTGAAGTTGAGCAGAGGCTGTTCCTTTATGGAAGGTCTATCCTGCTCACTGCAATTCCTGCCTCCTCCTTTCAACTTCCTGTAGAGGCTGCGGGGATGTCACACTTGTGTGCTCACATTCTGATTTTAGATTTGGGAGGAAAGTAGAGATGTTTTTTGTATTCTGGTCCCTTCTTTTAAAAAATAATGCAACAATACAACAGTCCACTCCATCATTCTGATGGCAAATTCAAAATTCTGTCTTTGTAGAACCCAAAAGGGGGCCTTGGGAAATCTATGACCTGAGGAAGAATGTGAGGGGATGGAGGGTTCTGGAAATCAAACCACAGGAGAAAAGGCTGGAGGAGGTGGGGAGCCAGCTGAGCCTTGAGGTGGAGAGAAGGAGGGTGCCATTGCATCAGTGAAGATGGGGGCCATCACAGTGTCTTTACATCTGTCAAGGGCCACTGTGGGGAAGATGCAGTATGGGTTTTCCTTTCATGTCTGTGGCATCTGTAACATGAGCAAGTCTAATGTATCGGGTGAAAGCCTGGAGATTTAAATGAAAGACAAGATGTCTGGCTGTTTGTGTTAAGAGAATGAGCTCTCGTGTGTGTGTGTGTGTGTGTGTGTGTGTGTGTGTGTGTGTGTGTGTGTGTGTGTGTGTTAGGACTAGAAAAACAGGATGCACCTGTGGTTATTGGCTAACAAGCAACTCACAGAGATCCTGTGGGGGCTGGGGCCCAACACAGGTCCTCAGAGTGGAAGTTAAAGTGTCCATTCTTAGTGAAGAGAAAAGATGAGAGAAGCAACGAGTTCCTTGGCTAAGATTTTAGACGTTGGTTATGGATTCAGATCCTGGTTCCACCCTTCCTTGCTTTTTGACCTTGGACAGACTGTGAAACCACACTGAGCCTAGCTTCCTTATCCCTTAGGAGGGGAGGGAGCAGGACACAAGAGGCCAGTGAGGCAGTGGACAGGTTTCTTACAGAGGGATTTCTTCTAATGTCATTGTGGGAGTCATGGCAAAGGGCTGTCAAAATAAAACTCAAAGCTTCTCAAGAGAAATGTGTATATTTAGAAGTTCAAAAGACAGTTGTTTAAAAAAAAAC